GACGAATTAGGGATTTTAAAAATATAACAAGACTGTACTCAAACATGGGCTTAATTGGGCTTAATTGGGCTGACTAAATAATTAAAAGCCCATATTTCATTTTTTTGTTTTAACTGTCACAATCTCTGAGAATCATATACAGCTGAAGGTGGGTCCCACATAAAGAGAGATGTTTTACAGTTGCACAAGACACTTGTGGTGGAGATTTGTTCTCATTTGCTTAGGATTATAACAAAAGACTTTTCTCATGATTAAATGAAAACTCACAGCCACAAGATAATCCAACTACTTTAAACAACCACTAACTCTTTACCACGTGTCCATCTCCAAGATTCTATCTCTTCCCTCTCCTCACACCAAGAAATAATCCATATAATACTCTCATTAGCCTTCCCTCCTTTCTGGATTACAAATCAAAACTTCAAACTTTTACTAACAAAAAGAGCTTCTTATTGTAGTTATGTTGAAAGAAGAGAGTAACGAGAGTGGTGGTACATGGGCAAGAACATGTGACACGTGTAGATCAGCCGCATGCACTGTCTACTGTGAAGCTGACTCTGCTTACTTGTGCACAACCTGCGATGCTCGAATTCACACAGCCAATCGTGTTGCATCCCGACATGAACGTGTTCGTGTCTGCCAGTCATGCGAGTCAGCACCAGCTGCGTTTTTATGCAAAGCAGATGCTGCTTCTCTTTGCATAGCTTGTGATGCAGAGATTCATTCCGCAAACCCATTAGCTAGACGTCATCAACGTGTTCCGATTCTACCAATATCCTCAACCACGAGCGAGACTGATGATGATGATGAAGAGGTGGCTTCTTGGTTACTACTTAATCCAGGGAAAAACAGTAATCATCAGAACAATGGGTTCTTGTTTGGTGTTGAGTATCTTGATCTTGTTGATTACAACTCAACCATGGAAGATCAGAGAGACTGTTGTGGCCTTGTACCAGAACAGAGGAGCTTCGAGGGAGATGGAGTTGTGCCACTTCAAGCTGAACAACAAAGCCAACATGATTTTCAGTTAGGTATCAACTATGGCTACTCTTCAGGACCGCACTACAACAACTACAATGGTTCTTTAAACCATAGCGTATCCGTTTCGTCAATGGACATCAGTGTTGTGCCAGAGTCAACATCAACAGTCCAAGATCCAAGAACCGCTAAAGAACTATCTGGTCCTCAGCAGCTTAGTCCAATGGACAGGGAAGCTAGGGTTCTGAGGTACAGAGAGAAGAAGAAGATAAGGAGATTTGAGAAGACGATAAGGTATGCTTCAAGAAAGGCATATGCAGAGATAAGACCAAGGATCAAGGGCAGATTCGCAAAGAGGATAGAAACTGAAGCTGATGCAGAACAACTTTTTTCAACGGGATATGGAATTGTTCCTTCCTTCTGAATGATTCATATGCCAAAGATGGGACTAGATTGCATCTTGTAAATTACTTACTAGTTTGGTTTTTCTACATGTTGGTTTCGCATATGGATCCATAGTTTTGTGACTTTTGTATAACTAGTACGAGTTAATCAGATAAAGTATATGTTATGTTCCTAAGCAAAACCTTTCTAGATAATTGAAATCCAACCATGTATCTTCTGGAACAGTGCCTTACTCAGATTGAATTGGTGCCACAAGAAACAGATACATTTTGATCATTATCAGTAGCTGTAAAAAGCAAAATCAAAAGCAGATTTCACCTTGTGGCTATAGAATCTTCTGTGTCTTGACACTTTCCAGATAACTTGACCAACCATAAGCAGTACAGTAAAAATGAAAACGAGATCATAACGTCGCAATATTATTGTTTATCCATATTTCATTTTTCTTATCCTAAATTTGCTATCTTTTGCAACATTTTTATGGTTGTAGCACATTTTTATTATAAAAAAAAAAAAGATAATCATATGATGAAGAAGATTAAAAGAGTTGCAAAAGTCAATAATTTCTTGTATCATATAGATAGGAAAAACCATTAGTATATATAAAAATACAGTCTTATTATTTTTAAATTGATCAAATATACAGCATATAGGTTTCAAATGAACTCATGTTTTATTAATATTACAGTATTTTGCTATATATTCTAAGACCAAATTAGACTGCTAATTTAGTTTTTATTGTTTAGTTCATAATTAAAATGCAAAAAAAAAAATACACTTCCATAAACATTAGTCAATTTTAGGTAAGGGTGGAATTATTATCCGAGATTCGAGAACCGATCCGTTATTCATTCGGAATCGCTCCGAAACTTAGGATATCCGGGGAGTCCGGATCCGGATAAAGATAGTAAAATCTAGGATCCGTGAAAAGAGGATCCGGATCCGGATCCGGACGCATTAAATATATTAAAAACATATATATTATATATCTATTAAGCTAATTTTATATAAATAAATATATATAAAAATTGATTTTAGTTTTTTTTTATAATAAATTATATTTATAATGAAAAATATCATTTAAAATATTAATTAATAATTTTTACAAATATATTTTTATTTATTTATTAATTATTTTAATTATTTTTAATATTAATTT